TCTCTGCTGTTTTTGTTAGGAATTCTGGTAAACATAGAGAGTAAATCTTATGTGACCTACATTATCAACTCATATCAGACAAATAATATGTTAGATGTGTAACACAGAAAAATTAAATGTGATATAACACAAATCAACGAAAAAATGCACCGAATGGCTTAAAAATCGACCCGTTCCGAAGTTGGCTCTTCCTACATGTATTCCACCCAGTAAAGTTACTTCCTCTGTGTTCAGTTAAGACTGAAATTATCTAGTCATCATAAAACATACTTGACTAAAGTTGTTGTAGCATGTCACAATGTTTTCTCCTAATTCCAAAAATAGCTTGTTTTTGATGTTGTATCAGAAATTTCCACTGCACTCTTTTTAATTTAATTAATTTGATGTATTAAGAGCAAATTCACAACATATTTCATGTACTTTACAAAGAGAATTTAATAAAATCATACATATCTATCCAAGGAAAACTAGCTGATTGTAAAGAGTTGATGACTTTGCAGGATTCAATCCTCCTGGATGAGCATTTCTTGATGACCTCTGACATCTGTTGTGCAAATGCACAGACTCCGACTACCCTGTATGTTGCAAACTCTAAATAACACTCCTAATAAAGTCTGTAAAGTACTAATAATGCTTAATGGTTCATGTAGAAAGCACCTTCTTGTCTTCAAACCTTCACTAACTGTTTAGACTGACAGTCACATGCTTTGAACAGTGGCTGTAACAGATCATTTGACTTGTTATGCCTTGACGTACGGGCTCTGTTGCCAGCAAATTGCATATGCTGTCATGTACAAACCCATCACTGATCCACATGGGAACCAGTTTACAGCTAAATTAGCCTTATTGGGGGTTCAATTGTTCTGTCTATGAGTGCCTCAATATGAGAGCTGAAATGTTTTAAATCTTTGTTTTGATATTCTCTTTCCTATTTGTATTTTGTTAAGAGGAGCAGATGTTTTCATAGATGTGAGTATTTGCAACATTATATCTTTTATTTTGTTTAAAAAAAAGTGAAAATGCATGTTAAATCTTTAGCAATGAGGTTTACCCATGAAGAGTGATGTAGATGACTCCTATGAAAGACTCATGAGCCAGCAGTCTTTCCTATAATTGTTGAGAATTTACAAAAAGTATATGTTTTGTATTTTTTGATCTTGGTGAATATTAAAATTTTCTGAGAACCTTCTGTGTTTATTATTCTGCATATTGCTCTCTATGCTTTTTCTCATAGTAGCTTCGGTTCGTCTGTTCCTGTTTGGCTGTGACACCACCCTGGCGAGAAATATCAGCTGTGCTGCTGCCATCAACACCTTTGTTTATAGATGTTTGAGATTGGCCTGTTTTTCCAGTTTAGTCCTGTTTCTCTGACTGTGACTGGCTGGATGTGCTCTCTTCATCCTCTGACATTAGAGTTGGCCCAGAGTGTTTCCTGGATATTTGCTTTTTGTATCTCTGCTTCTGTCTCCTTGAACCCCAGTCGGCCTCGGCAGATGGCCTCTCACACTGAGCCTGGTTCTGCTGGAGGTTTCTACCTGTCAAAAGGGAGTTTTTCCTCTCCACTGTCGCTACAAGCATGCTTAGTGTGAGGGATTACATTCGAGTCAATGAGTCGATACAATCAACTGGTTTTCCTTAGATAGAAACTTTGAATCAGTTTGACAGTATGATCTGGTGAACTGTAAAGTGCCTTGAGATGGCATGTGTTGTGAATTGACGCAATATAAAGAAACTGAATTGAATTAGTTTTTTGCCATAATGAAACAAAATAAATAGATATAAGATTTCCTGCTTTATTAGTGAATTTCTGAAAAAAAAAAAAAACTTCTAAGACTTTCTAATTTTTTTATCTGCACCTGTAAATGCCTGAATATTCACCATTTCATCATGTTTATGATCCATGCTGTTCACGTGACACAACTTGTGCCTAATGTGCTTATTCACAGTGAGCATAGAGCAAAGATCTAGATCTGATAGAACAGCACGCACTTTGTTTTTGAGCGTCAGCCTGACCCACTTTTCAACAAACAAACTAAATGTAACTTTTAAGCAGTTTGATCCCAGTCAGTGCAGAAAAGGAGTCTGGATGGTGGCTTCTGTGGGTTATAAGCAGTTTACTAAAAGCGTGTGTGCGATCTGTGAGTGTATTTCTGTGTGTGAGCTCCTCCTCTGCTCTGTTTGGCTGCTGGCTGGAGGTTGATGTCGCTGGCAGAGTGTTCAGGACAGGACCCAACTAGGTAGAGCTGGTCAAAGAGGAAGAAAAGGGAAAAAGTAGGGGATGTTGCATTTAGGATCCTGTTTATGGACACTGCAGGCAGGCTGCTGCTAACAGTCCGGTGGCCTTGTAGGTGCTGTCAAGCTGAAAGGTTAAGGTAGTCTCAGATCCGCAGTAGTATTTTTAGATCTCTTCTTTGAGGTACACAAAAAATGTCGTCTCCAAGTCCAGGCAAGAGGCGAATGGACACCGACGTGGTAAAACTGTATCCTTTTCAACCGAATATGGTCAAATGAACCCAACATGTCTGTTAGTGACGATTGTCAGCTGTTTTAATGTTTTGCTTATTTCAATTTTTGTCTCGGATGGCTGCTATGTGTTGTTTTATAGTGTTTTACTTTGCCGTTCGTGGCAAGGTTTTGTGTCTAACGTTTAGCTAATTATCGCAGCAGGCGAGTGCGCTGTTTGTATAGAGCTTTATTTGACATAATGTGCCATGTTGATGATTATAACATTAGCTGTGGTCGTTCTGTTTGTTTCCATCGTGAATTAGCAACGGAAACTGTCGCAATACAACGATGGCAGTTAACTCTGTTAGCCTACAACTTTGAAGTTGGCCTCCGATTGGTACCTCTGATTCTGCATTCCTGTTGATAGCAAACATTTCTATCCCAGGTCTGTTTAAGAACTGTGGGTTTTCAAACAGTTCCCCATCTAAAATGGAAATGGTTTCTAAAACAACATTTATATGTCAACTATAAACCTGTTTATTTCTCCCTATAGAACATTGGTTGCACAAATCACAAGCTGTTTTGTAAATAATGTATAGAGAGCTATAGTTCTCTAAGTTCAAACATGAATCAATCTCTTGAACAAGAAAAGATCATGCAAATAAATCAATTTAGCCATTTGGGTAGAGTGTTTTGTATAAATAATGCATCTAAAAGTTGCAGGATTGTAGCTCTTTATGACTGAACTTAGCCATACTGCTCTAGGTCAAGTCATCCAGAGTTTGTTTAAGTTCAGGTTTTTAAGTATGATTGCATTTTAGGTTTGGTTGATGGCAAAAAACAAACCAAAAACATTTTTTTTTAATCATGTAAAGTAATTCTATCTTGGCTTGATCTGTTTTAAGAGCATTTATTTGCAGTGATGTGTATTTTGGTTATTTATTCTCCAGGTGCACAGTATTTATAATGTGAAAACACTTAACAATACAGTATTTCATTTATTTAACTCATAACTATTATGTTATGATATTATATTATGTTATTCTTATACACCTTTTCTAAGGTCGACATTTGTATGACAATTCTTTTTCTATAATCATTTTGCCCGCTGTAAACACCAGAATTTCCCCACTGTGGACAAAAAAGTTATTTTCTATTCTATCCTATTCAAATCATAAAGGTTGAGGAATCACACATTGACTTTTACAAAATCTGTTGACATCATAAAATTATGTAGCCCGGATTTCACCATTTTAAGATCCAGTTCAGCTTCCCTAAGAACTGGAACAGTCACTTGATTGTGCTGCTAAATCAGATTCGACCAATCTCATGCGAACTTCATCGTTTGCGTTAGCTTCAAACACTGTTAGCCTCAGCTCTATAAGGAACCAAGTCAATATTTTAACAAACTATTTTTTATTCCCACTCACTGACAACAGGCTATAAAGTACAAAAGGTGTATTATCTACTTTTTAGAACGACTTCTTCGGGAAGACACTATTGTTTAGTCACATTTTTTTTAACGTTTACACCGCAGCAGTTAGCTATAAATCAGGCTACAGTGAGAAGAGAACAATTAAACTCGATGAAAAGTCAAACCTTCAGGCAGCTGCAGGCGATTTATGGTCTTATAGAATCAAATTATTACTGCTTTGACTATCTGTCTGACTAAAACAAAGAGTAATTAAATTCATATGAGGCCTTTTTATTAAAACTTGTTAGAAATTATTATTCAATGGCGCTCTTTAACGTGTTTACTTTGAGTAAATGAAAAATAAAAGTACATCTTCCAAAAAAAAAGTCCAAACTGTGCGTAATAAAGCAGGATGGAGCATTAATATCTTTTTAATATAAATGTATTTTTTATGCCTTCTCTATTGGTTCTTATTATCGTGTTTTTAATCGACTAAAAGCTTTCTATTATATCGTTTCATGTTAACAGTTTTCCTGAATAATCAGCTAAAGTTAGTTTTATCCTACAGTAAAGGTTTAGTGAAAGCGTGTGCTGAATTGTTTTGTTTTTGTCCTGCAGCTTCATGCTGCTCTCTGATTGGTCGGCCTGTTACCATCCGGAACACGGTGGAGGGCGGGGCTTAAGCGCACAGCTGATGGGGAACAACAAGCATGCTGTAGGGGCGCATCATGCAGGGATGGGGGCTGGGAACATCCATGGTAGGGACAGAGGGGTGGGGGGAGACTGCACATACCCTGCAGGATTAACGGGTTAACAGGTTGTTTTTACTCCAGTTTACAAAATAGTTAAATTAGTTAAAACTGGTTTATTCAAAAAGTTGAAGCTGGAATATCCAGTCCCTGAGTTAGCATGACAAGATAAAAAAGAAGTAAAAAAAGAAGTTTAAAGGCTGGAACAGTGAGTTGTTTTCTTTTAACTAAAGGAAAAACTAAGAAAAACATGAAAAGAACAGAGGGTTTGCAATAAAGACTATGTAGTTGAAATATGTTTTATTTTGAAATGTTTCTGATCGGGGATTTCCAGCCATCTTTCCCATTTTAACATAAATAATGGCTCTTTTCATGCTTTTCATGCAGTTTTGGTCTCTTCTTTCCAGACTTTTTCGCCTTTGAGAGTGTGCTACATTCACACTGCAACCTGAGGTGATCCAAATCCGATTTTTTGGCCCATATATGCGACCTGGATCTGATGTTTTCATGGCTGTCTGAACAACACGGATCCGATTTTTCCAATGCGACCCAGCCCACTAGGCTATGTTGCTTGAATCCAATACGAATCTGATCTTCTCAAATGCAACCCGTGTCTGAACGGCCAGGTCGCATTCATCCGACCTAAACGCTATTAATACCTGACAAAGGTCACTATTCTGGGTCTTGCTATGAAGAAGCGTTAAGAAAAACAACAACCATGGGGGACGATGTTGTGGAGAGCAGTATAATGTTTAATCATCTTGAAAAGATTGTGTTTTTATGGTTGGGAAAGATCGCTAGATGAAGACACATTTATGTTTACTTCCGTAAACACAGTGCAAGCTGGCCTGTGACGTCATTGCGTCCTCTGCTGCGCATGCGGGACACTTGTGTTGTATGACACAGGAGATCACATACAAGTCGCATATATTTGGAAATGTGAACAGCAACGCAAAAAAAACAAACGGATTTCACAAAAAAATCCTAATTGAGCATCAAGGCCTGCAGTGGGAACGTAGCCTGAGTGGCTTACTATATATCTAAGACAGATCGTTGACGCAATCATTCTATCAATGGCTGATTAAAATTCTCCATGACCTTGACACCATTAAGGCTTGAAGCTAAAGGGTTTAGACTGCTGGATGCACGTGTGAGGAAGGCAGGAGTAAGGAATGTGAATTTATTGCAACTTATATTGTCAAAGCAATATTTGCAAGGAGTTATGGCATCTTCAATTCTTAATAGTGATCTGTTGATTTTTACCCTATTTAGGAACAATTTGTACCTTCTTAGATATATTTTAGAGGATTTTCTACAATATATCTGTTGGTTAAATACTAACATAAGTGATTTATTCCCCCCTAATCTTTAAATGCATAAAAAATGNGCTGCCATCAACACCTTTGTTTATAGATGTTTGAGATTGGCCTGTTTTTCCAGTTTAGTCCTGTTTCTCTGACTGTGACTGGCTGGATGTGCTCTTCATCCTCTGACATTAGAGTTGGCCCAGAGTGTTTCCTGGATATTTGCTTTTTGTATCTCTGCTTCTGTCTCCTTGAACCCCAGTCGACCTCGGCAGATGGCCTCTCACACTGAGCCTGGTTCTGCTGGAGGTTTCTACCTGTCAAAAGGGAGTTTTCCCTCTCCACTGTCGCTACAAGCATGCTTAGTGTGAGGGATTACATTCGAGTCAATGAGTCGATACAATCAACTGGTTTTCCTTTGATAGAAACTTTGAATCAGTTTGACAGTATGATCTGGTGAACTGTAAAGTGCCTTGAGATGGCATGTGTTGTGAATTGACGCAATATAAAGAAACTGAATTGAATTAGTTTTTTGCCATAATGAAACAAAATAAATAGATATAAGATTTCCTGCTTTATTAGTGAATTTCTGAAAAAAAAAAAAAACTTCTAAGACTTTCTAATTTTTTTATCTGCACCTGTAAATGCCTGAATATTCACCATTTCATCATGTTTATGATCCATGCTGTTCACGTGACACAACTTGTGCCTAATGTGCTTATTCACAGTGAGCATAGAGCAAAGATCTAGATCTGATAGAACAGCACGCACTTTGTTTTTGAGCGTCAGCCTGACCCACTTTTCAACAAACAAACTAAATGTAACTTTTAAGCAGTTTGATCCCAGTCAGTGCAGAAAAGGAGTCTGGATGGTGGCTTCTGTGGGTTATAAGCAGTTTACTAAAAGCGTGTGTGCGATCTGTGAGTGTATTTCTGTGTGTGAGCTCCTCCTCTGCTCTGTTTGGCTGCTGGCTGGAGGTTGATGTCGCTGGCAGAGTGTTCAGGACAGGACCCAACTAGGTAGAGCTGGTCAAAGAGGAAGAAAAGGGAAAAAGTAGGGGATGTTGCATTTAGGATCCTGTTTATGGACACTGCAGGCAGGCTGCTGCTAACAGTCCGGTGGCCTTGTAGGTGCTGTCAAGCTGAAAGGTTAAGGTAGTCTCAGATCCGCAGTAGTATTTTTAGATCTCTTCTTTGAGGTACACAAAAAATGTCGTCTCCAAGTCCAGGCAAGAGGCGAATGGACACCGACGTGGTAAAACTGTATCCTTTTCAACCGAATATGGTCAAATGAACCCAACATGTCTGTTAGTGACGATTGTCAGCTGTTTTAATGTTTTGCTTATTTCAATTTTTGTCTCGGATGGCTGCTATGTGTTGTTTTATAGTGTTTTACTTTGCCGTTCGTGGCAAGGTTTTGTGTCTAACGTTTAGCTAATTATCGCAGCAGGCGAGTGCGCTGTTTGTATAGAGCTTTATTTGACATAATGTGCCATGTTGATGATTATAACATTAGCTGTGGTCGTTCTGTTTGTTTCCATCGTGAATTAGCAACGGAAACTGTCGCAATACAACGATGGCAGTTAACTCTGTTAGCCTACAACTTTGAAGTTGGCCTCCGATTGGTACCTCTGATTCTGCATTCCTGTTGATAGCAAACATTTCTATCCCAGGTCTGTTTAAGAACTGTGGGTTTTCAAACAGTTCCCCATCTAAAATGGAAATGGTTTCTAAAACAACATTTATATGTCAACTATAAACCTGTTTATTTCTCCCTATAGAACATTGGTTGCACAAATCACAAGCTGTTTTGTAAATAATGTATAGAGAGCTATAGTTCTCTAAGTTCAAACATGAATCAATCTCTTGAACAAGAAAAGATCATGCAAATAAATCAATTTAGCCATTTGGGTAGAGTGTTTTGTATAAATAATGCATCTAAAAGTTGCAGGATTGTAGCTCTTTATGACTGAACTTAGCCATACTGCTCTAGGTCAAGTCATCCAGAGTTTGTTTAAGTTCAGGTTTTTAAGTATGATTGCATTTTAGGTTTGGTTGATGGCAAAAAACAAACCAAAAACATTTTTTTTAATCATGTAAAGTAATTCTATCTTGGCTTGATCTGTTTTAAGAGCATTTATTTGCAGTGATGTGTATTTTGGTTATTTATTCTCCAGGTGCACAGTATTTATAATGTCAAACACTTAACAATACAGTATTTCATTTATTTAACTCATAACTATTATGTTATGATATTATATTATGTTATTCTTATACACCTTTTCTAAGGTCGACATTTGTATGACAATTCTTTTTCTATAATCATTTTGCCCGCTGTAAACACCAGAATTTCCCCACTGTGGACAAAAAAGTTATTTTCTATTCTATCCTATTCAAATCATAAAGGTTGAGGAATCACACATTGACTTTTACAAAATCTGTTGACATCATAAAATTATGTAGCCCGGATTTCACCATTTTAAGATCCAGTTCAGCTTCCCTAAGAACTGGAACAGTCACTTGATTGTGCTGCTAAATCAGATTCGACCAATCTCATGCGAACTTCATCGTTTGCGTTAGCTTCAAACACTGTTAGCCTCAGCTCTATAAGGAACCAAGTCAATATTTTAACCAACTATTTTTTATTCCCACTCACTGACAACAGGCTATAAAGTACAAAAGGTGTATTATCTACTTTTTAGAACGACTTCTTCGGGAAGACACTATTGTTTAGTCACATTTTTTTTAACGTTTACACCGCAGCAGTTAGCTATAAATCAGGCTACAGTGAGAAGAGAACAATTAAACTCGATGAAAAGTCAAACCTTCAGGCAGCTGCAGGCGATTTATGGTCTTATAGAATCAAATTATTACTGCTTTGACTATCTGTCTGACTAAAACAAAGAGTAATTAAATTCATATGAGGCCTTTTTATTAAAACTTGTTAGAAATTATTATTCAATGGCGCTCTTTAACGTGTTTACTTTGAGTAAATGAAAAATAAAAGTACATCTTCCAAAAAAAAAGTCCAAACTGTGCGTAATAAAGCAGGATGGAGCATTAATATCTTTTTAATATAAATGTATTTTTTATGCCTTCTCTATTGGTTCTTATTATCGTGTTTTTAATCGACTAAAAGCTTTCTATTATATCGTTTCATGTTAACAGTTTTCCTGAATAATCAGCTAAAGTTAGTTTTATCCTACAGTAAAGGTTTAGTGAAAGCGTGTGCTGAATTGTTTTGTTTTTGTCCTGCAGCTTCATGCTGCTCTCTGATTGGTCGGCCTGTTACCATCCGGAACACGGTGGAGGGCGGGGCTTAAGCGCACAGCTGATGGGGAACAACAAGCATGCTGTAGGGGCGCATCATGCAGGGATGGGGGCTGGGAACATCCATGGTAGGGACAGAGGGGTGGGGGGAGACTGCACATACCCTGCAGGATTAACGGGTTAACAGGTTGTTTTTACTCCAGTTTACAAAATAGTTAAATTAGTTAAAACTGGTTTATTCAAAAAGTTGAAGCTGGAATATCCAGTCCCTGAGTTAGCATGACAAGATAAAAAAGAAGTAAAAAAAGAAGTTTAAAGGCTGGAACAGTGAGTTGTTTTCTTTTAACTAAAGGAAAAACTAAGAAAAACATGAAAAGAACAGAGGGTTTGCAATAAAGACTATGTAGTTGAAATATGTTTTATTTTGAAATGTTTCTGATCGGGGATTTCCAGCCATCTTTCCCATTTTAACATAAATAATGGCTCTTTTCATGCTTTTCATGCAGTTTTGGTCTCTTCTTTCCAGACTTTTTCGCCTTTGAGAGTGTGCTACATTCACACTGCAACCTGAGGTGATCCAAATCCGATTTTTTGGCCCATATATGCGACCTGGATCTGATGTTTTCATGGCTGTCTGAACAACACGGATCCGATTTTTCCAATGCGACCCAGCCCACTAGGCTATGTTGCTTGAATCCAATACGAATCTGATCTTCTCAAATGCAACCCGTGTCTGAACGGCCAGGTCGCATTCATCCGACCTAAACGCTATTAATACCTGACAAAGGTCACTATTCTGGGTCTTGCTATGAAGAAGCGTTAAGAAAAACAACAACCATGGGGGACGATGTTGTGGAGAGCAGTATAATGTTTAATCATCTTGAAAAGATTGTGTTTTTATGGTTGGGAAAGATCGCTAGATGAAGACACATTTATGTTTACTTCCGTAAACACAGTGCAAGCTGGCCTGTGACGTCATTGCGTCCTCTGCTGCGCATGCGGGACACTTGTGTTGTATGACACAGGAGATCACATACAAGTCGCATATATTTGGAAATGTGAACAGCAACGCAAAAAAAAACAAACGGATTTCACAAAAAAATCCTAATTGAGCATCAAGGCCTGCAGTGGGAACGTAGCCTGAGTGGCTTACTATATATCTAAGACAGATCGTTGACGCAATCATTCTATCAATGGCTGATTAAAATTCTCCATGACCTTGACACCATTAAGGCTTGAAGCTAAAGGGTTTAGACTGCTGGATGCACGTGTGAGGAAGGCAGGAGTAAGGAATGTGAATTTATTGCAACTTATATTGTCAAAGCAATATTTGCAAGGAGTTATGGCATCTTCAATTCTTAATAGTGATCTGTTGATTTTTACCCTATTTAGGAACAATTTGTACCTTCTTAGATATATTTTAGAGGATTTTCTACAATATATCTGTTGGTTAAATACTAACATAAGTGATTTATTCCCCCCTAATCTTTAAATGCATAAAAAATGTCAATTTAACTTTTTTTTTTTATTTCTACATAGTTTTTCTTTGTTTTAAGTTGATCAAATATCATAAAAATATTTAGGTATGTATGTTGATTGGACAAATGTTGTACCTCTTCTCTTTGGACCTAAAAAACTGCTGTTTGCAGTGCTGCATGCTCTGGAAAAAAAAAAAAAATATATATATATTTTTTAAAATTATTTAACAAGTGCCTGTACGATTCTCTTCTTTGGTTAGTTATATTGAAAGTTGGTGGTCATAAAGAACCTTAGAGGGTATTTACAGCATAAACAGAGAGGATCACCTGTGTTTTTCTGCAAACTTTGCTTCCATTAGACATCATCCTCCAGGCAAGGCCTTTTTTTGTATATAAGGGCATTAATAAGGCTTAATGGGAGAAATTAAAGGAAAATAATTTTTCTTAATAGGACAATTAAAACTTTGAGATGCAGTAAAAATTATGATAATCACTCCCTAAAAAATTTAAAACAATAATGAGCTGAAGGACTATTTTTTTTCCCATCACTGAACGGTGACCAAAACAAACAAAAAGGCAGAATGGAGACCAAAATAATGTAACAGTCAACATATTTGATTAAATCTAATATTTCAAAGGAGTCTATATTTCAACTATTTTTTATTTCCACTGATTGAGAACATATTATTAAGTTATCGTGTTTCTTTTAACCTTTAAGCTGTTAGCTGTAAAGCAGGCTAGCATGAGCACAGTCAAACTCAAAGAAGAGTCAAATCTTCAGGCAGTTGCAGAAGATTTGTTGTCTTAAAGGGACAAATAGTGCTTTGACAGTTTGTCTTGCCAAAACAAAAAGGGATTGAATTCATATTGCATATTATTAGTGAAAAATGGGCAATGAATAAAATAAAGTGCCCTCTTTTGCGTGTTTACCTAAAAGGAATGATAACAAAATAGAAGTAAAAACCTCCTTAGTTTAAGGGTGTGTAATTAAGCAGGAATTTTTACAATTACAACTGACTTGTCACAGAAAATGGTTATAATATTTTAGTGTAAAAGTAATTTTCCTACTAAATTACAGTGCATTGTAAGCTTTCAACCAAACAAGTTCCCTGTTGTGTTTCAGGCTGAAAGAGCTTTGCTGGAGTTTCTATGGGGAACCCTCAGGGGTGGAAGAGTACAAGTTGTACATCTCTAACAGGTTTTATTTATAGGATCCTTTGCCTGAGATCACATTTAGAGTCTTCCTGTCTGTGGTTTGCTGCCTTTTTCTGAGGGTCTAAAGTCTCTGTACCTCTGCCCTTTTTGTTTTTATGGGTAGATGAAGTCTAGCAGGTTATTTTCCGTAGCTACAATGCGAGCGTTGTTGCTGTTCATATATAAGTGACTAAATGTTTCCTGACAGCGTGATGAGAGAAGGCGTAAGGCTTACTTTAGTGTCAAACCTAAGATGAAATACACCCAACCTTTCTGTGTTGTTGTTGTTAGACAGCTGACTCACTCATGCTTCTTGCTATCACCACATCCTGTGACTATTAACCAGCCAGAAGGTTCAATGTTTTCTTTGAGTAAAATGACTCATGATTGCATCTTTCTTTTAGCAGTAGATTTAAAAATTTGGTTTAAAGTTCTACCGCTCACCCCATGAGATAATAGTATAGAGGTAAATATTTGCAGATGGAGTTTATCTGATGAAGGTTCAGACGTTTTAATCTCGTTATTGTTGCTCATGGTATCAATCTAGCCTTTGACCTCTTCTCATTCATGTTCAAAATGGTTTTAAAACAGATTTAAGGAGCCCCTTTTTTCGTTTTTTAAAAATGTTTTTATAATTGATGGGATGTTGGAGACGTGTTTTTTTCTTTAACCAGACATCAGCATTGAGAGTAAACATGAGGTCACGATCCTGAGTGGACTGAATGAGTTTGTGGTCAAATTCCATGGGCCACCTGGAAGTAAGAGCCTTTGTCTTCATTTTGTTTCCACAGTTTTATGGGATACATTGTCTTGGAATCACAGAACTGTTTACTGTCTGCAAAAAAAAAATATTCACACCTCCTTGATGCTTTTCCCACTTTGTAACCTTAAAAATGCCAATCATTGTATTTTTGGTGATCAACCGATACAAAAAAGCTCTGGATATTGACTAGACCGTTCTTACCTATGCAAACTCTCTGACCGCATGATTAGCGCTGTGTTTAAGTCTTTGGCAACTTATATATAAAATAGTTTAGTTTTTCTCCGATTGTTGGGTATTCGGCTCCATCTATGGTTATCGGGATTTTATTTATTTTATTTTATTTATTTCGAACAGACAGTAAAAACAATCAAGAAAGAAAAAAATTTGAATGAAACAAACTTAAGAATGAAAATATAAAACAAATTATTTTGCCCATGTGACATGTAAATTTTATATTTTCTGTTCGAAAAGGAGCAGGTAGAAGATACATCTTATAATGTCCTGCCCCTTTCCTACTTGTCAATTTATCCTCAATTAAATGTCAAAACATCAAAAAACCAAAAAAACACTTGTTTCCATTCCACATAATGTTTAGCCATGTACAATTATTTTAAGTTCTATTTATGTCATCAATTACATTATAGACTATTAAACAGTCATCTTATATAGCGTATTTTGAAATGAGCTCGGTTTTAATCAGTTTATTAAATTGGTTTGCATTTTGAATTTTTTTAAACTCGTCATTCAATCCATTCCAGACATTTACTCCACACACAGATAAACAAAAACTCTTTCTGGTTGTGTTGTTTTTTAAAGTATCCTTCACCTCTTAGATCATAACCCCCTTCTCTGTCACCAAACATTTCCTGTATATTGTGTGGAAGTTTTTGATTTCGGACCTTAAACATGAATTGTGAAGTTCTAAATATTACCAGGTCCCAGAATTTCAGTATATTTGATTTGATAAATAACTGGTTTGTGTGTTCCCAGTATCCCACTTTATGTAGTATTCGGATTGATTTCTTTTGTAAAACGTATAATGGCTGTAAATTTGTTTTGTATGTATTCCCCCAAACTTCCACACAATATGTTAAATGTGGTACAATGAGTGTGTTGTACAGAATAAACAAAGATTTGTAATCCAGGACGAAACTAATTCTTCTTATAACAGCCAACACTTTTGGCTATTTCTAACCAGGATTTTTATGAGTGTAGCGAGGGGCAATTTTTCTTTTTTTCTTTAATTTTTTTTAAGCTTGCTCTCTGCTGTCGGGCAGGAGTATGTTGACCTGCCTCAGGTAGCCAATGACAGTTTTAACAACACAGGGTTCACGTTTTCACAGCGGCCCTCTCATCTAGATGTGCAAATATTGAAGTAAATGTGTTTAAAGATGCAGTTTCTGCTGCCATTTTCTCATTAAAAGTCAAGCAATCTGCATAATTCCATTGTAACTAAGAGTTTCAGCTTAATCAGCCTCTGTTCTGACATGCTCTTGAGACCAAGTCAGTGAAAGAGCCGGTATGCACATTAAAAAATTAGCAAATCTTCCTGATTTTTAGCTTAACGGGGAGTTTTTTTTTCTCCAAGTAACGGCCCGGCACAAAATATGCTGTCCAGCATCTGTCTCTTCACAGTATGCCACTGCCAACACCAGATACCGGTGTGGCCAGGCTGATGTATGGGGGTCATTTTTTTGTTTATTTGTTTTTCTGATTTTTGCATAAGCCAAAAAGTTCATAAGTGGCCTCATGTGTCTAGAGTACTTATGGAGCTTTGGATTAATAGTTGTTTAGCAGAGCTTTAGGCCTCTGCAGCTCCTCTAGATGTAGAAGGGACCTCTCAGCTTCTCTCCCTCCCCGGCGGGTCGGTCATGTGTCACTTTCCTTCTTCTTCATAATTACACACTCATTTGTTTTGGTTGATCACACAAAACACCACAATCCCACATCTTAAAATAAAGAGGTTCTGGTTGGAAGGTAACAAAATGTGGAGAAAAAAAAGTCAAAGGGGTGTGTATTTTTTTAATATGGTACTTTCCTAATGATATGGCTTCTTATCTGCTCCTATCTTTTAGCGCCGTATGAAGGAGGCGTATGGAAGGTTCGGGTGGATCTACCAGATAAATACCCTTTTAAATCCCCATCAATAGGTATAGATATATACATTCTTATAGATAACATTATAACGGATTGACCGTTATACGTCCTTTAATATTATCTTCCTTGTTAATCATGATAACTTGGTGTCACAGAAAGATCTGGAACCAAAATGAGAGGAGAAATAAGAGCTGGTTTGAATCTGATGTCCATGATAGTCATTTTAAAAATCCTTTTTTTGTTTGTTTCAGGTTTCATGAACAAAATCTTTCACCCCAACATTGATGAAGCGTAAGTTAAACTCATTGCTTTGGGAGTTGGCATGAAAGAAAAGAAGTTATCTGAGCATAAAAAACAGTTTTCCTGCTTCCTGAAGATGTTTTTGTGTCTGTTTCTCAGATCAGGAACAGTGTGTTTAGATGTCATCAACCAGACATGGACAGCTCTTTATGGTAGGTCACAGTGACGTCCGCTAACATTCAAACCAAAGAAAACCCGCACAGACAGAGCCAACAGCTCAAACTAGACCTCTGAAGTAGAGCTCAGCACCGTGTCTCTGTTTAATCAGCTTACACTGCGTTAGCGATAACTGCTGCTAGTATTCAGGTCAAGCATTCAGGGCTGATAGATGAGAAAGTCTTGAACATGTGGAGAAGACATGTTTGGGTTTATGTTGCTGCTCATTTTGTCCCTTTGTGTCAATCAACCAGCGAGATGTCTAAGAGTTACCGGTACTTTGGGTAAACCGATACTTCGGCATAAAATGGCATGAGAAACCAAATGAAGGAAAATATTAAGTAGCATAAAGATTTTTAGGTGATGATAAAAAAAAAAAAAAAAAGTCACCTTATAAGTGAGATTTGAACACTTTTAACATCTGTTTATCCACACAGTCTACTTCCTATTATACCACTGGGAGGAGGTCCGATACATTTAAGAAAGAATGTGGAGAAAACAAAGTTGTTTGATTATTTTTAGATAAATCTAATTTGCAAGCTGCAGTTTCCAAACGCCTGTTACAGTAGAATCAGTCGTTTAGCTAAGTTAATCTGGATAATATCCTACTGCGAAACCTTTCAGTTTTAGAAAACAGTCATTATAAAACGCTGAATTTTAGTAACCTTTGGCCTAAATGCTTGTTTCACCACCTCTGGAACTAACAGCGATACTTATAATTAGAATGTCCTGACTGATTTGGCTTTCTAATTGTTAATATATTAACTATAAAATGACAATAAAAATACATTAGTTAATTTTTCTCATGACTATGCTCACATTAAGATAACTAGTTTGGGGGTTTTATGGGGAGAAGGTATGTGTATCATTTGAGTAATATATGTTTCCATATCTAATTAGAGGTAAATAGCAACCTAACCCATGAATGTATATGTCAATATTTTGGAAAATCTTAACTGATTAATTGTATAGTGGATTAGCTTTTAAAACACTTTGCTTTGTTTTTGTACTGAATTGTGCTATACAAATAAATGTGCCCTGCCTTGCCTTGCTTATTGCGCCTTAGTCATTTTCAAAGTATGCTGTGGCAAAGGCATGTGTGAAAACCAATGAGTCAGATGCCTCCCTATCGTGCTCTATACCTTTAATTTAGACAACATGGATGTGTAAATAAGTTTTTTTATGTCCTAGTAAGCGCTTTAGAGCAATCTAGTCTGTTATTGGTGATTTTATAAGGAAAATATGGATGTTTTCTCGTTTGTTTTCCTGTTACGGTTTACATTGACCCTGGACTTTTCATGGTGCCTATCTGATTTGGGCCCCCCATGGGTCCCTTCCTGGGCACCCCTGTGTAACCTTTCTGGCTCCGCCACTGCCTTAAGCGTGACTCAGACAGGTGTGTGCTCCCCCAGCTGCCTTCAAGACATTTTAGCCAAGAAATGCAGATGTGCGAAGGACCTAAATGGGAGCTTGCTATGCTTATACCTTATTTTTAATTTAATGTTCACTAGAATGGTCACTGTATCTCTTGATGCACATAGTGAGATGCTTACAGATGAATGTGTTAACGGATTGATGCTCCAGATTTCCCTGAGGGTTCTCAAACTGTGATTATCTTTTAGAAAAAGGGATTTAAAAAAGTACCTTATTTAAAATGCTAATCTGCTGTTGAAAAATATGTTTTTTAATTCAATTATTTGACAATAAGATGGAGACTTGATAAAACAAAGCTTAGAGCTGAGAGCAGTGCTGATATCTGAAATGGGTGGAGGTGAACTGGTGAAACAAACATCCTCAAAAGCCATGCATTGAGGAAATATATGGCTGCTGTTTATAACTCAAACACAGATTAAGGGAAAGTATAGGATGTGCTGGAAACTGTAGGTCAGATATGCAAAGAACAGGCCGGCCAATCTACATTCAGCTGGTTAAAAAAAAAACCTCAGCTATAAGCCTGAGAGATGACTTGTTAAACTAAGGAGAAAAAGGACCATAGGTTTTATGTTCTTATAACAGAAGCTGGCATCATTATTATGTTTAAAAAAATAGATAAAAGTTTCATTAATTTTGTTTGCTTAAATTAGTTTGTTGAATTTTTTAATAGAGAGGCGCTGAGCTTTTTTTGTTTTTTCATCCAAGGACAACAGAGACACTGGAAGCTTTTATAAAAACTGTCAAGCACCACAGAACACAGTTGTTTTGGACAAATATAACAAAAAACTGTTGATAATAGTTTCATTTAAGATTAGGTCTGTCACAGAAGAAAAAACAACAAAAAACAGTAAATCACATGATAAAAATGATTAACATTATAAATTCAAATGAGATCAATAATTTGTGTTTTCACTCTTTTTTTTTATCTCTTCTTTTATTAAAGAGTCTAGATGACTAAAGGTTTCACTCATGTACGTCAGTCTCCACTCACAGCTCCCCTCATCGTTTGTTCAGCATCAGAGCATCGTGAAGAGTAGCAAGCCAGAGAAGGCTAGTTGGAATTAAGAAAAAACGGAGATGGAATTGGTTTTAAATCCGAGGGGGGAAAGCAGCAGTGTGGAACACTGAATGATAATATTATCGTTTATTGCAATAATATCTGAGACAAGTTGTCATCCAGCAGCATTCATTATCGTGACGGGCCCATTTAAGAGCTGATATCGAACTATTATCCATGTTTTTGTTGATAACCAAAACCTGTTTAGGCCACAAAAAGCTGTGGCATCAAACTGCTAAAAACAACTTTTAGACATCGAGTTTGTTTTAGTTACTTTATACACACAGTTAGTGCTTAATTGTATAGCTGTTGTTTTTGATGACAAAGATAGTCTAATTTTTTTCCCCCCCATGACTGCTCATGTTTATTTTTAACAGCAAAGCCAGGAATTGGAGTTTATGAATCAACCAAACTGCTTTAGATTTCTGTCCACTAACTGCATAACCTTTGATAAGCGAAGTATTGCTGATTAAGATTTTAGGTTTTATGCGATTAAACTATGCAAATGACAACATAAAGTCTTTTAGAGTCCTCATGGAAAGGTAACATTTTGGAGTTAGCAGTACTTCCTGAGGCGCTGCTGCATTCAGACCTCTTTAAAACTGACAACACCAATGAAACTCGGAATATGTGAATGTTCTTTCAGGTTGGTTTCCTTTCCTGTCGGTGAGGAAACTCCTTTTTGCTATAGAAAAAGGTGCAGCAAAACCTTTGTCTCATGTTAACTTCCTATCTACAGCTTGTTCTCATAGGTTCTCAGGTTGTAAGGCACAATAGACAGAAAAACCTAAACTAAACGTCCACATTTTCCTGAAATGTACCAATCGAGGGAAAAACAAAAAAATGAATCTTTCTATGAAGTCTGAAGAGATTCCTTTTAGTGAGCCATCTTGATATAAGTTAAATAGAAAAAGGTAATGAATGTATGGATTTGGAGACCGACATCACTTATGATTTTCCTATGCTTCATTAAAAAAAAAATGGGTATAAACTAGCAACACCTTGTGGCTAATGTTGATACTGCACTCACATGTTTCTCCTTTCATTTGCCAGACCTCACCAACATCTTTGAGTCCTTCCTCCCTCAGCTGCTCGCCTACCCCAACCCCATCGATCCTCTGAATGGGGATGCCGCCGCCATGTACCTGCACCGGCCAGAGGACTACAAACACAAGATTAAAGGTAGTAAACACCTGAATGTATCTTCAATTTCAGTCTCTGTGCTTTACATGTGTGTTTTCTATTACATTCTATTCCTTTTTTTTTGTAAGGTTAAAAGACGATCTTAAATGTATTTTACAGGAGTTTACTTGGTAGACAAAGTTGTGCTTAATTACGATTATCAATAGAGTTTCATTTGGTATAGCTGTTCTGAGGAGACCTTAGTGATTTATTAGAGTACATTAGGGAACCAACAACCACATGAGGACCATAGAATACAGTCAGTTTATAAAACAATATCCTGAGCTTTGTGCACTTCATAAAACAATATCAACCCATAATCACAGAATGGAAAGGGTATGACACTAGTGGAAAGCTAGCGAGACATCACCATCCAGCCTAACTGACGGGTCAGGGTTAGGCTTGTAGAGCATTAATCAGAGAAGCTTAGAGCCCCATGGTAACCATGGAGGAGTTGCAGAGATCCACTGCTCAGGTTGGGGAATCTGTTGATTGATGCAGATGAATTAAAAACTGAACTTTTTGTTCTGTAGACACTTTCTGTGGTGGAAGACTAACTTTCTGACTGAAAGTGAGAAAGGGAAAGTAACTGTTCGATTACATCATATTAAATCAGATGTTATAAGCAAGTGAAAATTGATGAAAAGACTCAAACATTGATGTTCACAGAAACTTCCTGATTAACCTGACTCGTCATTAAAGGGGAGATACACTAGACGTGTTTATGGCGTGTGGCGTTAGCACCGTGGCTTACAGGAATTTATGAAAACTGAATTTCTACCAGACGCTGCCAGGTAGACTCTTCAGATACAGATTTATTCTTTCGTTTCATTGCTAGGCCTGACACGATAACACATTTTGCTGAATGATTAATTGTCTCAAAAATTATTGCGATAAACGATAATATTGTTTGAAGACCTTTTCTACACTGATTTATTGGAAATGACGTAATAATGCATGCGATTTCCTGCCAAAGATAAACACACTTTATTTTCAACAGAACACTTAACACTGGAACTGGTTAACAAAATAAAACGAGAAATAAAACTGAACTCTCAGTCTCTGTTAACTAAAAATACACTTGAATAAAAACTAAACACAAGATAAAACCAAATCACCTCGGTCATTTGGTTTGAGTCCGAAATACTCCCACACTGCAGCTGTTGCATTTGGCTTTGAAACCAGTTCCATTTCGAGCTGCTGTGCTCCTCTGTTAGTTTATTAGATCATTTAGAAGTCAATAGAGTTTTTGAAAGGATTTTTTATTTTGTTGATGTTTGGTTTTGGATTGAAATGCCGTCAATTAATTACAGACCCTAAAAGTATCTCGGTTAAAAATTTGAACCCAGTCCCACCACTGAAATATATAATTTTCCTTCCATTTCATTTATATTCTACATTTTGTTGGTATAAAGCTTTAAATTCAAATCAAACGCTTCCCTAAATTCCCCCTCGATTGTACAATAACCTGTGAAGCAATCCTGTTTTTTGGACTATAATGTGAGAGAATGTGAAGAAGTTTCAGAGGTCTGAATATTTTTACGAAGCAGAGTATCTGATTGAGTCGCATGAGTCACAAGAAGCGCGGAATGTTGTCCTGTGATTTTTAATAGACGCACGCATGCACTAATTAATCCGTCTGTCTCTTTCAGAATACATCCAGAAATACGCCACAGAGGAGGCTCTAAAGGAGCAGGAGGAGGGCGGAGGGGACTCCTCCTCCGAGAGCTCCATGTCAGACTTTTCTGAGGACGAGGCTCAGGATATGGAGTTGTAGTGAAGGCGAAGGCGTCCTTCATCTCTCAACAGACTATCATTTCCTAAAGAGCAGAAACTCAGTACTATATTCGTATTTAAACAAACAGGACACATTTTTTTACGGTAACACAAGGATTTTTATTGCCACACAAGGTTTTGCAGTATGGAAAAAACAAAACAAAAACCAAACTCCTCACCATCATCTCCGTGCTCTTCCTCTTCGTCTTCATTCAGAGAGATCAGAGTGAGGTGCGGTTTGATCTTCAGCTCTTCTCGGTGATCTCAACCCCAGATTTTCGCTCTGCATTGTAAAACCAACACAGGATGATGCTCACCAACGCATTTTTACCACATTTTTTTATGTTGCCGCCTTTTCCTCTCTTCAAGGCAGAGTTTGAGGATTAAAGAATTTAAAAAACGAGAACCTTTTTTTGCTTTTTTTTTTTTTTCCCCCACCACAAACGAGAAGCTGCAATCATTACAATCAGTTTTTATTAAAGGATAAAATGGCAGCACGCCAGAGTGCTCATGTTTGCAGAGTACAGGTTGCATAATGGTCTTTGCAGGACTGCAGGAAGGTGCAGACACATGGCACACATTCTAACCACATTGCAGTGTGCATGAATTTCTTTCATTGTGCCCTGTGCTGTGATCCTCAGCAGTGATCGGGGAAAAAGGCCAATTATCAACATCCTCAACCTTCTCCTCCTCCTCTCCGTTTTAGGAAAGCATTCGCCATTCTCTGGGTATCTTTGTTGTGGCATGACAGACAAGTAAAGTTTGTGTTGGCCTCCGTGGAGCTGTGTCAATGTGGGCATGAAGAGGACTCCTCGGTCCATCAGGGAGGATTATTTGTCGAACTTAACTTTGCCTATTGCTTGTGTTGAACTATAATAGGTGTCTGACATGCGTAGGGATAGTTAGTTTTTTTTGCAGGTGGTGAATCCTATCATAATGTATGGTTTAATAGATATATAATTAAAAAACACTTTACCTGTTAAAGTTGTGGAAAGTTAAATCATCTTTATTTTTTAGATGAATCCCTCCAGAGAAGTGCCCCCCTCCCCTATCCTCCTGCACCTCCTCATGTCAATGTGTGCATCACATCTGATTGTAGAAGCGCTCTTTGTTTTCCTGCTGTTGGTTAGTATGTTTCACCAAAAATATTGGGACCAAAAATAATTTCATGTTCTCCCTCGAGGTTTGAACTCTTAAAAAAAAAACAACAAAAAAACACTTGTAGTTTACTCCTGCAAAGCTTTAGCTGGTGGAAGTGTTGATGCGACACTGATCTGAGTTTGTTCTTGCCCAAACCCTGCTCGTTGCACATCAGAACATTATTTTTTACCTCGAATGAGAAATATTTAACGGGCTTCAATAAATGGGTTCATTTCATGTTGTTTGAAGGGGAAATAGTTGAAATCAGACCTCATTAAAACAGATTAGCTTTTGTACCAAATACTCTGCATGTTGGTGTTAGTCTTAGGACAACATGATGTCAAAGTTTTTAAATGAAACTAAACAAAAATAAAAAATAGGAACCACTGTCCAGCCTCTTTGGATGCCATCAGGATTCCCTGCTTTGTTTCTTCTTCTTTCTTTTTTTTAAAATTAATGAATCTCATATTTGATGCCTATAATTTCTCTGAATGTTTTTATTTTGAACTTTTAAGCCCGGTGTGCAGGATAAAGATCTAAGATATCCGATTTTTAAATGGGAAAAAGAAATATCAATAAATGTGCTTCCCTTGTAACTCAAAGAAATAAACAACAAAAACATACATGATCAGTGTTGTATTTTTTTTCTCTACTAACATGGGCATTAAGTAGTTTGTCATTCATTTTGCATTTTTTTTAAAGACTTACAAGACTTTTCAAGGTTTGTCCACTAGATGGCAGTGCTAGGATATTTCGTTTAGTAACAGCAGAGGGTTGAATATTGCCTCCCAGGAATGTAGCTTTGTTTATTTAACATCTTTGTAAAAGTTTAGGTTTATTAGAAAAGGGATAAAAGTTAAAAACCATAAGTTGACTTGAGACACACAAAGGATAAAAAACAACATGAGGTTTCTGTGTAAAAAAACAAACAAACAAAAAAACAAAACCAAAAACAGATTTATGATTTTCTATGAATAATCCTTCACTTTTATAAACGGTTTGTTAGTTGAAACACTTAAGACAGCAGCATTAGATTAAAGGCTGCGAGTTTGACGGACGTATTTCACCACATATTTTCCAGAGGCGAACAATTATATTTAAGTCTAGTTGAAAGAGCTGTAGGACTCATTTCCATTCTGCTGCTGAAGCCAATCTTTAGATATCTGGTCTCTGTGTTTGGATGCAATGTGATGTGGAAACAAAATCATCTCCTTAGCTGTAAAGATGGATTTAGAGAACATTGGTTTGGTAGAGTACCTCTCTTATCAAGGTATTTCTACCCTCACATCTTAGTTCCCTCTGTAGAGGGTGCTGGTTTTTCCCCATCTTCTATTCCTGATGATGGAGATCAGTGTTTTTCAAGATTTAAATGTTGGTTAAACAAATAATTTGTTTCCTTTCCCTCATTTTGCCCAGTCTTGGAGCTCTACAGAAAAAGGCCTGTACCTTTTATTGTTTAAAGGAGTACATCAACAGAAGTTTGTTTCATCCTAGACTATCAGGTAGGGTTACAGCTGGACCCCTGTCAGGTGTAGTACAATCAAAATGGCTTCTCCATCTTAAAATCACTAACATGCCCAACGCTGGGATGAGAAGAGTAAGCTTTTAGTTGCAACTACTTGAGGTGATGTTGATGTGATACAAATAGACAACTTGGTAAAAAAAAAAAAAAAGTTACCAAGTCTAACAGCAGGATATCTAATCATTCTAAAATATTATAATATATGGACAAACCAACATAAAACTGGGTCCCAAGACAAAAGTGGAATCCTCTTCAAAGGCCAGCTTAGTCTATAAGCTTAAGTCCCACAGAAATACAGAGAAAAGGGACCAAATCGCCCTCTTTCTAAACTTTCCAACCTTTATTAAATGTCATAGAAGACAAAATGCTTCCCTATTGCTAAAATTGGGTTGGGAAAAGTGTAGTCCTAAATGTTCAACACTGATTATAAAATAATATCTTAACTTATATTCATTTGATTAAAACTTAACATGAATAATTGAGAGGTGGATCTTTTCTAAAATTACTGGCAGATGTTTACAGTGACACATAAATTATCACTCCACTGTAGTTACCCTAATGCTTTAAAGGATCACAGTAGTCTATATTATAAACTTTAACATTTAGTGAAATAACATTGGGTTAATTGATTTAAGCTAGGTGAGATCTTTACCGTTATTCAAAATAAGCAATATTTTCTATGAACAAATCTTTGCAAAATTATTTTTAAAAGATATCAAAAGTAGATACAATGTAAACTAGATATTAATTTTTTAATCTTTCCTAATGTATATGCATTAACTATACTGTAAAGATTCATTCCTCTTGCCATTAGACTCTACAATACGGCACTATAACTGCAATAACTTGTGCAATAACTAATATGCAATCACTATATAATATCCTGTGCAATAACTATATATAAATACCTATCCTCATAAATAACTATTTAATACCCTGTGCAATAACCTGTGAAACAATCCTGTTAAATAAGAGACTTTACCGAATACACTGTATACCCCATGCACCTTTTTCCTCCTTTTGGCACCTTCTTTTGACTATTGAGCCGATGTGACAAGTTAATTTCTTCACTGTGAGATCAATAAGGTCTTTCTTATCTTAGATTGGTTTTATAAATTTATGTTGATAGAAAAATGTATTTAGAAAAACGCTTCTTCTGCTCAAATTTATCTTGTAATTGTATCTTTATCTTATATTTCCTTATTTATTTTATAATTTAAAATACTAGAATTTTCACATAACTGTTTGATTACATAATTTTAAATCAGATGTTATAAGCAAGTAAAAATAAATGTTAAAGTACTGCTCCTCTTATTTAATAATTTTTTGGTAACTCATTACCCACTTCAGGTAAATCAAATAAAAAAGCGAAACATGACAAACAAAAAAGGGAGAAAAAATATCACATTTTGTGATACATTATGGTGAATTTATTCATTTGTGTTGTTAAATTTAAGGTCAATGTTGAATTTCATATAGCAAACATCATTTGTGACAAGTAGGTCTACAATATATGCCTGTTTGTTGAAAAGTATCTAGTTTCGAGGTTAAATTGAGGAATAAATAACATTTCCTTTTGCCCAAACGTTTATCTGGAAGCTGATTCTGTTCAATATGGATAAAAGTCATTAAATTTAAGAACTGATTACATTATTTTTCATGTTCATTAGCTAAACTAATTCTTGGCTTTGCATATACAGGGATGATTATAGAGGAATATAATAGTGAATGATAGTGTGATGAGGTCCAGACCCTGTATAGCTGATGATCTAATGAAATATTTATGGTTGTGTGGCCAAGCTGCCCCTTTCTGCACATATTCTGGTTTCCAGTTGCAACACCACTGTTTAATTTGGCTGGACAGCCACTCTCAGTAATTAGAGCTCATCTATTGTTTTTTTTTATTGTTTCAGTCTCTCTAAATATCAAAAATGTAGCCTATAATTATCAAATGATTAGACTTGTTTTTTAGTTTCAAAAGTGATATATGTTTAAAACAGACTTGAGGCTGAAATGATTACTTCAATACAATAAAAAAATGAACAATGTGGGAAATATTTTATAAGCAAAAGAAAGGGATCAAATAAACGTCTGTTATTTTCCGGAGTAACCCGAGAGGATGGAGGAGACGCGCAGTGCGCGCAGAGCGGTGCGCCTCTGCAGGCTGGCTGCGCCTCCTCCATAATGTATAGAGAGGACAAAGGTGGGACGGCTGGATTACAAACTTAACTTTGAATGAGCCGTAACCCAAGCCCCAACTATCCGATAAAAGCGGGTCGGCATCCGCTGAAAGGATGATGCGTCTTTTTCCACCTGCAATCTGTCTAATAATCACCGACAGCAGGTAAATGAGATGCAGGCAGCTTTGGATGCTGCTATAAAACGCAGAGGCCTGCGCTTGGAGAGACTCTAACGCACTCAGGGGGGGAGAGAGGAGAGGTCCTTTACAGCCTGGATGCTGGTAAGTCTATTTTCCTTTTGTTTTT